GGAGGGATGGATGGATAGATAGATAGGTAGATCCCCATCCAACAGACGGACAGATGGCTGGATGGACAGACAGACATACAGATAGATAGACAGATGGATGGATAGAGAAACAAATGGACAGACGGATGAATGGAAGGATGGACAGACAATAGATAGATAGATAGATAGACAGACAGACAGACAGATAGATAGATAGACAGAAGGACAGACAGGTGGAGGGATGGATAGATAGATAGATAGATAGGTAGATGCCCGTCCAACAGACGGACAGATGGATGGATGGACAGACAGACATACAGATAGATAGGCAGATGGATGGACAGAGAAACAAATGGTGGAGGGACAGATTGATAGATGGATGGATGGACGTACAGCTGGACAGACAAATATATCTATGTTTGTTTGTTTAGATATTTGGCGCTATTCCTCCTCCTGTCCTGTACGGCGTAACCTTACTTACTGTCTGATTAATTCTGTCTCATAATTCTCCATCCTTCCTCTCTCCCGTCTCTGTAAACAGCACCAGTAATTATGAGAAATGAACAAATGAACGTCGTACTAATAGAGTTTCATTATGTTAATATGCTCTATGCTGCTGGGTGTAAAAAAGACAGACTGTCCCTCATTCAGACACACACCTGCAGCAAACCTATTATTTGAAGGTTACAGACTGTCTCTTTTTTCTGGAATTCATTTTTTTTATTTATAAATATTTATAAACAGCAACTGTTCTCTTATAAGGTAAGTATTGTCTATGTTGTGTTTAATGCTTTAATTAACTACTTTAATACTTTTAGAATTGTGTCTGTGAAGTTAGAGTAAAACATCAAAGATACAATTGATTAAATTAAATGATGACGATACAAAAATGCATACACTTTAAAAAATAAAGGTTCCATAAGGTCGTTTTTGCAGCAGTGCCATGGAAGAACCATTTTGTGCTGCCCAAAGAGCAGTTTTTCTCTTAGCTTGAAGGACATTTTACTAATCTGAGGAACTTATTTCACTAAAGAATCTTTTGTGAAAAGGAAAGATTTTATGGATGTTTAAGGTTCTTCATGGAACCATAGATACCAAAAAAAGAACCTTTATTTTTTAGGAGTGTACATGTCTTTATCATATTTATTAAATATTATTACAATTTATTGATATAATGTTGTTTTGAAATCCAAGGAGGAAAAAGCCAACAAAATGCTATTTCAGATCAAACGACTTTTAAGAGATGTTTAACAGATCCTTTAAATCCTATAAATACAAATGCAGTTATAAAAAATAATGAATAAGGATTGCTTTTAAATAAATATAGTTTCTGCTACAATGCATATGGATGTATGTTACATGTAGTCTACTATCTTTTTCACAGATGCAGACGAGTTGTGTTTTACTCTGTATCTCACTCTGTGTCTTAACTGCACATTTGTCAAGGATCCATGGCATGACCCTCACGGTACATCTTCTATTACCTCTTCTGAAGCTCAACAAGATGTTTGTTTTTCCTCATCTCTTTTATGGGTCTCTCTGTTAATCCCACAGAATCCAGAGAAAAAGGGATGGACTCTGAACAGTGCTGGGTACCTACTAGGACCTTGTAAGTTCATTGCATTCTAACAATTACACAAACTTGAAAATATTGTGCGAAGGTATATTGTAAGCATATTTATTATTGGTTTTATTGCAATAATTTTGTGGTTCTCCTGCAGATGTTCACAGAAGACACGGAGCTGCGGGCAAAAGAGACATGTGGAATGAGAGTTCAAGCTTACCAGCATCTTTATACAGTCAGTTCTTAAAGCATTTATAATGACTTATTATTTTTATTATTATTATTACAACATTAAATTTAATTGATATTAAGGAATAATCTGAAATGTTAGTACATTAATATTACCTGATCTGGTCCCCTTATCAAATATTATTCTTTCTTGGTTATTCAGTTTGTTAGTATTTTTCCTAGTATTTAAAAAAAAAAAATGTTTCCCAAAATAGTCTATTTTCTTATTCCACAGATGATTCCTATCTTCTCTCACTGCTGGGTCATCTTGCATATCTGCAATTAAAAGGTGAATTACATAGGCCTAATAGTTTGATTGATTTGTTTCCTTTTATTTCTAGTAACTGAAAAATGTATGTGATTCTTGGCAAGCAAAAGTACTATTTTTCTCTTTCAGAAATGGGAATGACTGAAGGTTTCAGTGGCTCTTTAATGAATGGCCATATGAAGCAATAACAAAATATCTCTGTTTTACAGTTTTTCAACATATGCCCTATAATACTGTTTTGCATTTGATCCGTTTTATCATTATTTAATATGTATTAACCAGTAATTCAAATTGGTAAAATGTGTAGATAATATTCCACGAATCATGCCGATTTGACTCATCTCACCACTTCACCATTGAACTATTGTTGGTGCATAATGTTCTGCTTCAGAGTTCAAATAAAGCACTTAAAAAAAAACGTTTACGTTTATTCCATATAAAAAGGAAATTGAGGTAATCAGGGTGCCGATTTGTTGAGTCAGAGGTGAACACTTGGTGGTTTCACCGTTGCCATTTACAAATACACATTTTTAAATAAATAGCAAAATAATAACCCGTTGATTCCAAAAGGAATTTTGCACGACTAACACAGTAACAGAATAATTTAAAAAATGTGACCAAAAATGAACCTTTCAAAGGCTGAGTGGTGGGGGTGTATATGGCAATGAAGTGAATCTACAGTGTAGTGTAACAAAATTGAAATTATTTTCAGACCTGATTTCGTGAATACTAATGCGTACAGAGCGCAGAAGGTGTTTTGGATATTGTTCCATAGGATGCCAAATGCAGAATATCATGTAATGAGGAGCAAAGATTAACATATGGTTCCATCTAGTGGCAGATGAAGAAAGCGACATCCATGTAAAAGGATGCTGTGTTATATATGACTTCTGTTTATTTAGATTTCACAAAAGACTTGGACAGAAGCAAAAATGTTTGTAATAAATATAAATGAACACAAATATAATAAATCATTTCAGGTCTAAATCTTTTCAAAATCTAAAAGTCTTTACTAGAAAACAAAAGCACAGCTGTTGAGAGAGGTTGGGGAAAGCATGAACTGACATATGCTGAGGCCCTGGAATCTTCTGACTTTTGCTCTTTCAACAACCAGACAAAGATGGTTGAGAGAGAGCCTTATGCTTTATGCCACTTATTGATCATGCTCCACTGTTTGAGATTATTTATTGTCTAACAAGGCAATAGCCTAAATGAAAACCAAATAGTTAAAGTCTTGAAGTGATCAAGTTACACAATTAATCTAAATGAGAAATGAAAAAAAATTCAACCCATCAATATGTACAATACATATGTTTTGCACCACAATACTCTGAAGTAATTGACCCATAAGGAATCCATAATTTTGCTGAAGGAAGTGCCTCTGTCTCTGCACTTACTCCCAATTTCTCTCAACATGGGGACAGAAGAGGTGTCAGCGAATAAATGAGAAAAACAAAGTAACTGCCGTTACTTATTTGAAAAAGTAATTTAGATATTTTCTTGAAAATTTAAAAGTAATGCATTACTTTAGTTACTTGAAAAAAGTAATCTGATTACGTAACTCGCATTACTTGTAATTACTTGTAACTGGTCACAAAGTTTTATTTTAAATTTTAGTATGGTATAAAGTAATTTTTACTAATACAATCTCTCAAATAATATGAGGTCATAAATCTGCATGCATAATACTTAAAAGAATAAATACGGTTAAAAATAGATGTAGATGCAGATGCATATCACACCAAAGTGAAAAACCAACACTATCATGTGTTTCACAGATTGTAATGTACATTATTATGATTAAATTAGCTTTAGCCATTTCTGAAGT